GAGCTCCTTTCCAATAAAATGGCACTGTGCCAGGAGTGAGGTTTATGGTGAGAGTGTCTCAGCTTTTCCTTCCCATTTCAATGTTAGTAACGTGGGTATTTTCTCATTTGCCCAACGTGTAGGAGTCACTCAGCTAGTTACTGGATTTTTTTTCTGAGACAATTTCTCCATGTGTAGCTGTAGATTTGGTGTGTGGGTGGGAGCAGGTAAGTTCAGGAAGCTCATATGTTATCATCTTGGATTAGAATGAGGATAGTCTTTTCAACAAATAGTGCTGGAGTAACTGAATGTTCGCATGCAAAGAAAAAAAAAGGAGAAGGAGGAAGAGAAAGGGGAGAAGGAGGAGGGAGGAGGAAGGAAAGGAGGCAGAGAAGAATAATCTAGATGAATTTACATTTGTCACAAAAATTAACTTAAAATGGATCAAGACCTAAATGTGAAACTCCAAACTCTAACACTTCTTAAAGATAACAGAGGATAAAATCTAGCTAACTTTGGGTTTGGTGATGACATTTTTAATACAAAACCAAAGACGATGCAAGAAAGAAAAAAAAAATGTTAGTCTTTATTAAAATGAATACCCTTCTCTGTGAAAGATGCAGTTAATAGAATTAAAAGACAAACTGCAAGCTGGGAGAAGAATGTATATCTGGTATAGGACATATGCAAAATATTAAAAGAACTTTTAAAACTCATCAATTTGTGAATAAACAATCCAATTAAAAGTGGCCAAAAGATCTGAATAGAAACCTCGCTAAAGAAGATATACACATGCTGATAAACATATGAAAATATGCTCAGTATCATATGCCATTAGGAAATTGCAAATTAAAATGACAAAGAGATAGCACAACACATCTTTTAGAATGGTTAAAATTAAAAAAAAATAAACTGACAAAACCAAACGCTAGTGAGGATATAGAGCAACAAGGACTTGGATTCACTGCTACTGTAATATAAAATGGTAAGGGACTTTGGCAGTTTGGCAGTTTCATACATAGACATAGTCTTGCCATTAGGTATTTACCCAAATGAGTTGAAAATATATGTTCACATAAAAATCTGCTAATGAGTTTTTATAGCAGCTTCATTCATAATTGCTAAAAATTGGAAACAACCAACATACCCTTTAATAGAAGAATGGATTGATAAACTGTAGATAAAATGGAATATTATCCAATGATAAAAAGAAATAAGCTATTAAGCCATAAAAACATGGAGGAATCTTAAATGTATATTGCTAAGTGAAAGAAGTCAGGCGACATACTATATGATTCCAACTATATTACATTCTGGAAAAGGCGAAATTATTTGTTCATCAGTTGTAAAAAGCGTACCACAATAAAGTAACATAATAATAGGTGAAATAGGTGAAACTGTGTGTAGGTGGAGAAGAAGTATGTGGTAACTCTATATGCTCAATTATTCTGTAAACCTAAAACAGTTCTAAAAAATGAAGTTTACTAATTTAAAAAGGGCAAAGAATATATAACAGAAAGTATAAGGTTTGTGAAGCCTAAAATATTTAGTATCTGGTGCTTTATGAAAATACTCATTAATTTCTAGTCAAAACCTACTTATTTGAAGGAAGTGGTTTTCAGATTGGATAAAAAAAATTAAATTCCAACTAAATTTAGTCTACATGAGGCCTACATGATATAGTTCAAAGATAATGATGATATAGTTCAAAAATAAAAAATATGAGAAAAGTTATAGCATAAAAACACTAAACGAAAGAAAGCTGGAAGGAATGTATTAATATCAGACTTCAGAACCAATAAAATTATAAGGATAAAGACATTACAAAATGATAAACTGGTCAATTTACCAATAAGAACTAACAACTCTACTTATGCATGGAGCTAACGACGGACTCTACAGATACAAATAGGAAAAACTGTATAACTGGGAGAAAAAGAAGACAAATAGAAGTACACTTGGAAACTTGATCATTACCCTCTCAAGGGAGAAAAAAGAAGTACCAAAATCACAATTACCCAACCTGAACTAATTTGTATCTGTGGAACTCTCATGTCAACAACAGTAAAGTGCATATTCTTTTCAAGTACAAATGGAAAGTCACTGAAAAGGCCATATCTGGGGCCATAAAACAAATCTCAAAAGTTTAAAAAACTGAAACTATAGAATATGTTTTCTACCACACTTGGAAACTAAGCAACACGCTTCTAAATAATCCATGAGTCACAGAGGAAGTCTGAAAACAAATTAAAAGAAAATACATGGACCTGAATGGAAACAAAAATACCATATATCACAATTGCAGGACACAACTAAAATAGTAATTAGGGGAAATTTTATACTACTAAATACACACAATAGAAAACAGGAGAAGTCTCAAATCTATAATCTAAACTCCATCTCAAGAATTTAGAAAAATAAGAGCAAAATTAAACTCAAAGGAAACAGAAGGAAGCAAATAATAAAGATACAATTAGAAATCAATGAAACAAAAACACGGTTCTTTGAAAGGTCAATAAAATTAACACATCACTAGCAAGATTGACAAAGATAAAAAGCAAAGAACACACAAATTAACCATTATCAGTAATGAAACAGGCAATAAAACCATCCCCATAGATATTTGAAGAATAAAAAGGAACCATTATAAACTCTACACAGATAAATTTGACAGATAATATGAACTAATCCTTAAAAAGCACAAACTGAAAAAAAAACACCTAATATGAAATAGATAATTTGAATAGCTATAATAAAAACTATTTAAGAAATTGAACCCACAGTTTATAAACTCCTCCTAAAACATTTTCTAGCCCTGATGATTTCACTGAAGCATTCTACCAAACATTTGAGGAAGTAACAGTGATTCTACACAATATCTTCTAAAAAATAGAAGAGGAGAGAATACTCCTTTAATTTATTTTATGAGGCCAATATTATTCTGATAGCAAAACTAAGGACAATACAAAATAATAGACACTACAGACCAATCTCTCTCATAAACTTAGACACAATAGCCTCAGCAAAATGTTAGTAAATTGAAACCAACAACATACAAAAAACTTTGTCTTTTTGGTACTTAACATTCATCATCTTTGCTATTTGGGCCCCATTCAGTGCATGTGTGAGTTAGGGACTTGCCTACTTCTAAATCAATCAAGAAAATAAATATTTCTTTCCTCATCTTCCTGATATCAACAAGGATATGACCTTAAGCTCAGCTGATTGGACCGCTCCTACAAGATTTTGATTTTTGAAAAAATAACACAAAAGCCAGTGGTCAGTGAGAGATTACTTGCAGCAGCCAATGCAAAACTGAGAGTACTGCAAATGCATTAGGTCTTAGGGGTAGGAAGAGTGGGGGAGGGGCATCTTGCTAAGAAGAGTAGTCCTATGATGTAATTTTAATTTGCCTTTTTTGTATGTGTTGAAGGGTAGATTCTTGGTGGTTTATAGAATTTATTTCTGTACAATGAATCTATTTCAAAACAATGGTTTTCAAGACATGGGAACCGGTCAGTGAAGGATAGTGTAAGTGAGAAATGGGGAGCATTCAAGGTGAGCCCTATGATTCTTCCAGCTTACTGCCTTATGAGAGTGTTTGAGATCTTGTCATAAGGATTTGGAACTAGACAGATTCTGGCAGACTCCCTGAGTTGAGCTGATGAGCTGAAAATCCAGGGAAACTAATACCGCTAGAATTCACAGGATCTAGAAAAACCACAAACAATTCTGAAGAACAAAAGTGGAGGACTAACTCAGTAAGGATAAAATACTCAAGAAAGTAGTATTGGTATAAACATAGCCAATTAGATCAAAATAGTTGAACAGAATAGAGTCCAGAAATAGGCCCACATTATAAGGATAATTGATTTTTGACAGGGCGCATATGCAATGTAGTGAAGAACATACAATCATTTTAACAAATGATGCTGGAACAGTTAGGTATCTTTACATAAACAAATAAATTTCGATCCATATCTTGTACCATGTAAAATAACTCAAAATGAATTGTAGATGTAAATGTGAATTGTTAAATTCCAAGAATATAAGGAAAAATTTTGTGAACTTAGGTTCAGTAAAGTTTTAGATCACCAAACACATGATCCATACAGAAATATATTGATAAATTGGACATCATCAGAATAAAAAAACTTCTGGTATTTAAAAGACCATGTTAAGGAAGTTAAAAACAGTCTAAAGATTGTGAGAAGATATTTGAAAATCATTTATCTAACAAAGGACTAGTTTCTAGAATATATAAAAAACTCTCAATGCTTAATATGAAAACAAATAATCTACAAAAATAGGCAAAAGATTTGAACATTTAACCAAATAATAAATATATACAGATGGAAAATAAACACATGGGAGAATGCTAACATCATTAGTCATTAGATAAATGCATATTAAAAACCACAATATGAAACTACTATACCCCTGTTAGAATGTCTAAAATTGAAAAGACTGACAATACCAAGTGTTGATGAGGCATGCACAAAGCAAATGAAGCTCTTATGCACTGCTAGTGGGAATGTAAAATAGCATAATCACTATGGAAAACACCTACCATATTATCCAAACATTCAATTCTTTAATTTTTACTCAAGACATGAAAGTATATGCATACAAAGACCACATAAAGATCAACTGCATGAAAGAAGCCAAAGAGCACATATTATATTTTTCCATTTCACAAAATGCTATGAAATGCAAATAATAGTGACAGAAAGTAGATCAACAGATACCAGGGGGCAGAGGAATTAAAAGGAGCATGAAGAATCTTCTAGGGGTGATGATTAAGTTTGTTAACATGATAGTAATGATGGTTTCACAAGTGTGTACATAGAGCAAAAAAATTCAAATTGTACACTTTGGACATATAGTTTATTGTATATCAGTTATATCTTAATAAGGCTGTTAAAATGATTATTTTAATAATATTTTTATGGATCTCATAGATATACATTAATAAGTATAATGCAGTGATGTTATAATTACATTCAATCTTTTTTTTATAGAACAGGACAGTCTGGAAACCTGACAGCTCCTTGCAATTCTCATTGTGGATGTTCATCTTCATTTTATTCCACTGTATGTGGAAGAGATGATATTGAATATTTTTCTCCTTGCTTTGCAGGGTGTGCATATTCTAAAATATTAGAAAATAACCAGAAGGTAGTTAATTATGCTTCTTTCTCTCCAGTAAGATGTTGAACTTGTAGACAATGTTTACATTTCACTCCTAGCTCTCTATAAAAGCTCCCCTCCCCCTATTTTCCTTTTTATCAATGTTTAAAAGAAGAAAAGAACATTTACCTTATGTGGCCCCAATACAGAATGCTTGTGGGAATTGGGAGTAGAAAAGATACTCTCACATTAAACCATGCCTCCTGATAACCATTCCTACCTTAAGATCTTTCAGAAAATCCTTTCAAATCAACATTCAAAATAAATGCTAGATCTGGCTATCTTCATCATTTCCTCTGATGCTGCCCTGGTCCCAGTCACCATTGTCTTGTACCTTATTTCACACCTTTTCAACTATTTTCTCTGCTTTCACCCTTACCTTCATAGTCCAGTAGTCTCAATATAGCAGCCAAGTAATCTTTCAAAATATGTCATTTATACATATATCCATCCAATGGTTTCACATTACTAAGATTAAAAAAACAAAGTTCTTAAATTGGTCTTGCAATTACCAGTTTCTGTATAATCTACCCTTCCCCCACTACTCTGATTTTATTTTCTCTTAGTTTCCTTCATGTTCACTCTGCTCCACCCACATTTTTCTCCTTGCTTTTCTTTGAACTTATCAAGTAAGCTCTAGCCCCAAGGCTTTTCAATTTCTGTTTTTGTTTTTCTACCTAGAATGTACTTTTTCCAGCTAACCAAATAGCTCACTGCCTTACCTCTGCTCAAATATCACTGCATCATTGAGATATTCACTGATTATATTAAGTTCACCCCTGTACTTTTTCTTGCTTTATTTTTTAATCTGTAAAATATTTGTCACCATGTGCTCCATTACATGTTGTTGTTGTTGTTGTTATTTGTCTCGTCCAAGAAAAAATTTCTCTACATGAGGGCAGGGATTTCTGTTGTATTGTTTAGCGTGTTTTCCCAGCACCTAAAATGATATTTAGTACATGGGCACTTAAAAAAAATAGTGGAATGTATAAATTGAAATTAGGACATTTGGATATTTCTTTTTCTTTTTCTTTCTTTTCTCTCTCTCTCTCTCTCTCTTTTTTTTTTTTTAGCATGTCCAGTAGCCACTTAGCAACTCCCACAAACAAACTGAGACGATTTTTGGACCACCACTTTATGCCTCACTCAGATTTAACCCATCTGTTTCCTCTTATTCCTTCACTAGTAGTAACTTAGAATCTTTTCAATAGATTAATAAATTGCTACCTAGTCTCTGTATCTTCAAACTCTATATTAGTTTTCTTAGAAAATATTACCTTTTCATCTTTCTTGAATTACCAGCTGTGTAACAACCACCCCAAATTTTCATTGCTTTCCATTCAGGGCTACATTGTGACTTTCACTGGCACTATATACTTTGCCTTTGTAAGCCCCTTCCTTCACTAAAATAATTAATTTAAAAAATTCATGTACAACTGCATTTCTGTGAAAAACAAATATGATCCAGGCTGGATCCATTATTATTACATTCTTTTTTTTAAGACACTAAAGTTACAACATTTTTATGTAGCTCTGTTGTATTTTAGGCCTTAGACACTGCCTTCTCAGTGTAATAGATAATAGCCCTGTCATCATTACATAGAAAATAAAGTCTTATCTTTACAGTATAGTCCCAAAACCTTCCACGGTTGGGTAACTGTCCATACTTCAAATCCCAACTAAAGTTCCATTTTATTACATTTTCCTTAACTCCCTTCAATTTACATAGCTCTTCAATAGTTATTTGTGTAATTAAATGTAATATTTTTGGTGGAATTCTTTAAATAGAATTTTTCCTAAGTAACTAAAATTAAATACACACACACACACACACACACACACAATTCATTTAGGTAAAATACCTTGGACTTATCATTAATGTTTCATTTTTAAATAATGACAGGCAGATTTAATATAAAGGTATTTACTAATAAAACTGGTTAGTCCTCCTGTAGTTATTGATTTAATTTTTATTTTACAATAAAAGTTTTTGCATTATGACTATATTTCTAAGATTGTTTCCTATCTTAATTTTCATAGACATACTTCAATTGTTCTTGCATTAATGAAGGATTAATAACTCCAGATGATCAAGGTGATTTTATTGATGCTCGATCTGGGAAATGTGATACAAAGTGCTCTAAATTGCCTCTGTTCATTGTTCTTACCTTTTGTACAATTGTATTTGCTGATTTTGCTGGTATACCAAACCTCCTAACCATCCTTCGGTATGTATATATTATTCATAATCATTGTTCATTTAATACATAAAAATCAATTTTAGGAAGATTTTACAATATCGTAAGTAAATGATTTATTCTTTTGTTTCAAGGTAGCAACTGCTAGAAAGGAAACTGTTACATTGTCAAAATTCATGTGTATGTTTAACTCTCTATTGAGTGCATATATAAACAGAATTGCTGAGTTATAAGCTACACATATGTTAAATTCTTTAATAAATTACAAAAGTATTTGCACAAATTCATTCTTCTAGCATTCTATTGTTGTTTTTAACTTTAAGCAATTTTGATGGATGTGTGTATTATTTCCTTGTGATTTTAATTTCCTTATTCAGAAGACTAATATTGAACATATTTTCCTTTATTTACTAGCCATATGAGTATGCAGTTTTGTCAAATGGCTGTTCATTTCTTTTGTATATTTTTACACTGGGTTTCTGTCTTTTCATTATTGACTTCCAAAAAGTCTTTATATATTCTTTATATACTCCCAAGTTGGGGGTCATTCGTCATATATAGTCTTTACAAATATCTTTTCCAACTCTACAGCTTGCCTTTCCACTCTGATAATGGCATCTTTTGAGTGAAATATATTTTTTAATTTTAATATCCTGTTTAAGAAATCTTAGCCTAATCAAAATCATAAGGACATTTTTATGTTATTTTAATAAAAGAGTATATAATCAATAATTCAGCCGGAATTTTTTTTCTTAAAGTAGGGATTTAGGTTTGCTTTTTTAATATGTATGTTAACTGACTCACCACCATTTATTGAAAGGCTATCCTTTCCCCACAGCAGTGTACCAACAGGCTCTATGTATGTGGGTCTATTTCTGTATATTTATTGTGAATATGTCAGGCTTTGTTGTAAGCCCATCTTCAAGATTATCTTCGCCATTCTTGGCCCTTTGTATTTCTAGGTGATTAAAATTACTTAGTCAATGTCCATAAAAAATATGTTGAGATTTTTATTGGAATGCCTTTGAATCAATTTGGAAGAGCTGCTATACTTACCACACTGAGTCTCTTGATCAGTCAGTGAAGTATAATCTCTTTATTTATTTAAATCTTCATTTATTTCTCCTAATAATGTTTCATAATTTTTTCATGGTGGAGGTCATATATCTCCATTAGATTCATTCTTAGGTAATTGATGTTTTTGATGTTTATTATAGCATAGTATAGTATAGTTGTTTATTGCTGGTATGAAGAAATGGAATTCATTCTTGCGCTTTGACTTCGTATTCTGTGATTGTGTTCATATTAATTTCAAATAGTTGGTAGATTACTTCAGATTTTTTATGTACATAATCATAATCTGCAAATAATGATTTTTATTTCTTTTCCAATCTTTATACCTTTTTTCTTGCACTGATTAAGCTATCCTGTACAATGCTAAATAGAAGTAGTGATAGTTACTCCTTGTTTTTTATGCCCATTAGGATGAAGGATTTTGATATTTCATTGTTAGATATGAAATTTGCTGAAAATTTCACCATTAACTGTGGTATTTATAGCACCTATTAGAAAAAGCCAGTTTGCTTCCATTTCTAGTTCATTAAAATTTTTTTAATTAATAAATTTTAAAATTTATCAAATGTATTTGACATATCTATTGAGATTATTGCGATAAGATATGTCTACTTATTCTACGAATTAATCGGATTTGGTTAGTTGCTCAATTCATTTTGCTGGTATAGTTGGAAATTTTGTATGAATAAAGTTGCTTTATAATTTAATATGCTCGTCTGGTTTTGGCATCAGTGTTATTTTAGCCTCAAAAAATGAATTGAGAAGTATTTCCTCTTTTCCTAATATCTATACTATTTTATCATGGTGTAGTATTACTTTTTAATTAAATCTTTGGAAGAAACCACTTGTGATGTCACCTGGGCCTGGAAATTTCTTTGTGAGAGGTTTTAATTAAAAATTGAATGACTTTGTGTGTGTGTGTAGGTGGGGAGACTAATAAATCTTTCTATTTTTATTTTAATAATTTCCATCATTTTAATTTATTTTTATAATTATTTTATCCACATATATATTTCTATATATTTGTATACATGCCTTTTTTATCTAAATGTGCATGCTGAATGTCTGATATACATTTTTTCTCATTCTTTAAATTCAAATATGCCTTTCAGTGTATTTTTTTTTTATTGGAACTATGTGTTATTTGGAAGTGTATAGTTTAATTTCTAAATATTTGGAAATTCGTTATATTTTTGTTATTTATTGTTAGATTGAGTCCACTGTGTTCAGAGAACACATTTTTATCATTTCTTTTCTTGAAAATGTCTTTAGACTTACAAATGATTTAAAATTTTATCTGTTATGGTGGATGTGTTCATTTTTTAAATTTCTATCATCTTTGCTGTATATATCTTGAATCTATATTAGTTGAAAACATTTAGCATTGCTGCCACTTCCTGCTTTATTGACTCTTTTATCCTTATGAAATAGTCCTCTGATAACTTTGTCTTAGAGTTACTTTTTCTGACTTTAATATTGCTTTATCGGTTATATTTTTAGTAGCATTTTCATTAGATACTTTTCTTTTTACTTTCAATCTTTCTCTTACTATAACTATTTAAGGCACATTTTGGAAGCCACACATAGTTAGCTTTTTAATTGGAGTATATAAACTATTAAAATAATTGCTAATGTGTTAGGATTTTCATCTATTATTTTACTGTTTGTTTTAAAATTTTTCTACTTGTTCTTTTAGTTCTTTCTTACTTCTTTTGAATTGATAGTTATTTTTAGTTTTCATTATTTCCCTCTATTATTTTGCTAACTATGTATTATTTTATTCTTCTTGTATAGTCACTTTAGATCTTACAGGAGTATGTATTACTTATTAGAGTCAAATGTACAGTAGTACTTTTGCCACTCTCTGGATAATGTAAGAACATAAAAATACTTTAATTCCATTAACTAACTCTCTTCCAAGCTTTTGTTATTGTTAGGTATTTTGAGACTACTTAAATTTTAAATCCTAAAGAATGTAATTTTATTTATTATATATTTAATAGCACAGTACCAGAATCTCTTCATTTTTTTCCTGCATTTTTTTAGGGGTCATTCCTTCCTCTAGAAAAGTTTGTTTTACTGTGGGTCTGCTGGAAATGATTTTTGTTCATTTGTTTCTTGTTTAAAAATATCTTTAATCTACTTTTATTATAAAATTATATTTTGACTACTTATGGAATTCCATGTTGGTCATTATTTTCTTTCAGTACTTTAAAAAGAAATATTTAACTGTCTTCTTGCTTTCTATAACATTTTATTACTGTTCCTTTGAATGTAATGTGTCTTTTTCTCTAGATGCTTTTAACATTTTCTCATTGTCTTTGTCTGTCAGCAATTTCACTATGATATTCCTTAATATAATTTCGTTTGTATTGATGGTTCATGGAGTTTTAAAATGTTCTTATGGCTTTAAAAGAAAAGCTTGCTGTCTTTTTCTATTAGCTACTAGGATGGTAACTGTATTAGTTTGCTAGGCTGCCAGAAAAAGGTACAACAGGCTGGGTGTCTAAAATAACAGACATTTGTTTACTTACAGTTCTGGAGACTAGAAATCTGAGATCAAGGTGTTGGAAGGGTTGGTTTCTTCGGATGGCTAAGAGGGAAGGACCTCTCTTTGGCTTGTAGATAGCCATCTTCCCTTTTGTCTTCACATTGTCTTAGCTCTGTACATGTCTGTGTCCATATTTCCACTCACTATGAGGACATCAGTTATGTTGGATTAAGGCCCACGAGGCGAACTAAACTTTAACTTAATTTTCTCTGTAAAACTCTGTCTCCAATACGGTAGCATTCCAAGGTATCGGAGAAGAGTTAGGATTTCAGCATCTAAATTTTGGAGGAGATACAATTCAACTCATAGCAGTAACAAACCACCCCAAATTTAATGACAACAATTTATCTGTATCTTTCATAGTTCACTGAGTTGACTGGGTTCAATGTGGGTAGTTCTTGGTCAGAGTTTCTCATGAGCTTATGGTTAGTTGGCACATGACACTTGAGTCATCTGACAGCATAACTGGGCTGGATTTCCAAGAAGGCTTACAATTTAGGCAAAATTTTGCTGGGAGACTACTGTTGATTTGCCATAAGTGGACTCTTTATGTGACCTGTACTTCTGTTAACAAAGTTCAACAATTTCAAAAGGGTGCGGCCCAAAGTGTTAGTGTTCCAAAAGACCCAGGCATAAACTGTAGGCTTAATTTGACCTAGGCTGACAGTCCAAGAATGTCACTTTTCTGGATTCTATTTTTCAAAAAAGTCATTATGTTTCAAGGGGAGGGTGATTTGATTCTATCTCTTAATGTCAGGAACAACATGCATGTATAGGGAAATAAAAAGGAATCGGTGATAGTCATCTTTGGGTGATTATCTACCACAAGATCTTTCATTGGTTTTGGGAAATTCTTAACTATTCTTTTTGCAGATACTGCTTCTGCTTCATTCTTTCTCTACTCACCTTTGTGATATCAAATTATACATACCATAAATCTTTCATTGTGTCCATGTGTTTCTTATAGAACTCTTATAAGAAACACATAGACACACTTTATATTTTTGTACTCTGTGCTTCAGACTAAAGTTTTTTTTCACTTATCTATATCCTAATGTATTAATTCTACCTCCACCTGCTTTTTCAGTTACTTATATACATACTAGTTTACTAATTCTATCTTCGTCTGTGTCTAATTAGATATTAAATTCACCTATTGAGTTCGTAATACTAATTAGCATATTTTTCAGTTAGAGAATTTCATTTCTTTTTAGTACATTCTATTTATCTGAGATTTTGGTGATCACATGAGCCTAAGAATGACAAAATCTTTTTTTCTCTGCAGAAATTTTCTGAAATCTAAAGCTGTGTGATGCTTAAGTCTAAACAGAATAATATCATTTGTTTGTATCTCTTTGTCAGTGTTCTTAAGAAAAACTAGTTCTTCCATTCTTTCTTTCCCTTCCATCTCTCTTTATTTTTACATGTTTTTGTCTTCTCAACTGTGATAGTCATCGTGGATTCAAACAGGAAGGTAGATGAGTACTTTAAAGGGGAGAGAGCCAGGGAGGAAGAAAAGCGGAAGAAAAGTGACCAGGTTCCTTCTGCCTGGACATTTGAGGGTGGAAAGATAGACAGCAAAGCAAAAAAAAAAAAAAAAAGGTTACACGTATAAGTATTTAATTGTAATATTAAAACATGCTGCAAAGAAAATATAGAAAAATGCAATGAGAAAATTATAAGATGATCTTACTTACTTTGGAGATTCAGAGAGGGTATGCCTGAAGATATGTTACTTAAGCTAAACCCTAAAAGATGGAGAATGAGTATTTCACATAGTGGGAATGACATATGCAAAGATTCTAAAGTACCTTCATAAGACTGTTGTATTTTAGAAAGTCATGAACAAGGAGGGAGATAAAGGCAAAAGTGAAGTGGCATGGAATGAGACTAACAAGATTGGATGACCCTTGTAAATTTATTTGCAATTCTAGATTTTATCCTAAGAACAATGGGAAGCCTCTGAAAGATCCTAGTGGAGCAGTGAAATATTCAGAATTTCGCCTTAAAAAAAAGCACTGTGGCTCTTATATGGAGAATGGACTGAAAGGATAAGGATGGTTGTTGGGAGGTAAATTAGGAAGTCATTTCATTTTCTTCTTTTTAAGGCAAACATACAGGCTTGGAATAGGCCAGTGGAATTAGAGATGAAGAAAATCCGAGAAAAGTATATGAAAAATGTTTATTTTTAATAATAACTTGATTATTAATTGTATGAGGTCAATAAGGAAAAGGATAGTATCAAAGATGCCACTTTGACTTACAGATTTTGGACTTGAAAACTGCATGGATGATGGTTCCACTTGTGACAGGGTGCACTAGGGGAAAACCAACTTTTGTGCAAGGCAGGAACTTAAGTCTAGAACTCGTGTCTTACATGAAAGATATGGACTGAAAATATACATTTAGAAGTGGTAAGAGATAGTAGAAGCTGCCTTTTACATTTGGAAGAGTATTAATAAGCTTTTTGTTTACTCAATGAAATCCTTAAATCATCCTATTATAGGCTTACTTGTTAGAATACAAAAAAAAAAGCATTCACTTTGTTGCTAAAACATAGGAGTTTATGCATTAAAATTTTGTTTTTCTATACATATCAGTTATTTGTTTTTGTGCTGTTCATTTAACTGATTTTGCAAAATCCTGAGAATCAATCTTTTTGCCTTGTTTAATATATCAGTTAGAAAAAGTTATAATCAAACTGAAGATATATAAATACTTAATTATACTTATGAGTTATGGTCTGCTGAATAGATGTTTCAGAGGACACTCATATCATATTACATATAAGAAAACTACTTATGCTAAACGAAGCAGAACTCTCAATTACAGTTAGGCATAAGACTCTTTCCACTTTATACCAAAAACTTTATACTAAAGTGTGGTTCTAAAATGTGGCACGTTACTTCTTTTACTTCTCTTTAGTAAATCTGCTCGTAATAAAAGTGTATTTTTTTAATTTAAAAATATTATCATTTGAGAATTGGTTAATTTATTTTCATTTTCCTGGTAGTAAACATTTGAGGAAAGAATATATACTTTTTTCCAGGTTGACAAAGGTGAAATTATCTTACTTTTCGCAAAATAGTCACAAAATATTATACGTATGCTACATTTTAATACAATGAGTTATTTTGAACGAAAATATTGGTCATACTAGTTTGTTTTGCAAGTTCTAGAACAAGGAAATAAAGGATAAACAATTTACTTAAAATATCATATCTTATAAATTTAGTTATTTTTTACTTTCTGAAATGTTGATTTTTTTGTTGTATTTTCAATTTATTTTCCAAACTACAATATGTAATGTTATACATTATTTTTCTTTTTTAAACAAACGCCTGGTTTGACCAATATTCCTATTGCTATTCCTATATAGAGATCTTGTTTTCATTTGGGAAAGTTATTTTTCATTTATTTTAGCTTTTGAATAGTGAGTGTAACAGTGAGAGATCCAACAGGAAAGAGATGATACCCTCAGATTAGGACAATTCAAGGTTGAATAAAGTGGTTATTTAAAATGCGGGCAGGGTTTAAGGAATCTCAAGGTACAGTGCAATACCTCTGGTCTGTTACCACCTCAAGCTCAAAGGGAAACAGGGGTAAGAAGGAGAGAAACCTGTAGGGGAGAATTCTTTGTCTAGACACCTAGTCAGCCTGACCTAATTGTGCAGGGATGGACCTTGGGAATGAAGACCATGACCTCACTTTCCTCCCTCATGCCACAGCACCCCATTGGCAGAACCCATTCAGAAGCCAGAAGGCAAGAGAGCCTATTGATGTAGTCCATTTAGGTCAGCCTCCCAGAGCAAGGTACAGAGAGGTAAAGAGTGGCTCTCACAGGGGGAAAAAGAAGGTTCTAAAATAATGGATATTCACTCCAAAATGAAGAAAAAGAAGTGGGAAATCTAGTGCTACTTTTTTTTTTTTTTTTTTTTCAGTAAAGGGAAAGGAGGATGGGGCCGAGGGTTTGGGTCATAATTGCTTCTTTTTTGTGAAAAGCAAGAAGCTTTGGAATTGGTTGGCAAGGGGCAGGATATGAAGAAATGGGAGTTGTTGCAGTTCTTTAATTCAACCAGATTGAACCCTGTTAACTGGCTAAAGATTCTTAGTTTAATTGAGGCACAGAAAAAGTATTCTTTAACCTAGAAAACATTCTCTATAGCTATTAATAATGGTATTTTGATGATATTATTGCTCTTTGCTTGCAGTGTTGTATCTGACGAACAGCGTTGTTTGGCCTTGGGTGTGACCTATGTGATTTTGAGAGTATTTGGTATGGACTTTTGACAATCTTTTATTACACTGAAATGTTCATTTTTTGATATGTGTGTCTATATGCATATTTATAATTTCAAATAAATAATGGTAAACTGAAACAAACGAATGAGAGAGCTGCTTTGCAGAATTGGGCAGTAATACATAAAAACAATACCTAATATAAAGCCCATCCTAACTGTCATATAAAATATGCATTAATATTATATTCGATTAGAAGAAACAATCTATTTGATCAGAAGTATGTTCATCAAGCTCATACATGTGGTTTAGTAAGCTGAAATAAAACACTCATGTAAACATAGCAACTATACATTGCTTGCACATTTGGGAAGTCACTAACCTAGACTAGTGCTTTTAAACATTTCATTACCAAGGACAGTGAATCTGATGTTTTTAGGGATTTATATCCAAAGAACAAATTGGTTTTGCTGAGGATAATACACTCTGTACTTCAGGCTTTCTTAAAATAGCAAACACTGCTTTCAAATCCACATTATGGCTATATTCAGACTTCTGATTCAAGCAGTTGATTGAAAATATTAGTGGGGTAAAGAAACATGATTGGATTGAATTGAGGTATACGGAGTTCTCAAAATCAATATTTAGTACCTCTTTAAAATACTTTCTCTTAAATTTTTAATTCAAGAATTAACAAGTTTTGAGATGTCAACTAAATAACAACATGCACACCATTCTAAAAAGATGCAAATCTATCAGTTTTTTACACTTACAGGGATAAGACTTTTTTGAAAACACATTGTTTCTAGTTATTAACAGTCCTATCTACAAGTAAATTCTTAAATAATTTTAAATGATATGTTTACAATGATGAAGACTAAATATATAGGTGTAAGTTTAATTTTAGGATAAAAATCATTCTGATCCCAACCTATAGTGTTTTCATGGAAAATTTCAATCATGATATTTTTCATAGGGAGTATACCTGGACCAATTGCTTTTAAAATGATAGGAGAAACTTCTTGTACCTTTTGGGATACTGGATACTGCGGGAAAAGAGGAAGTTGTTGGATCTATGACATGACAAAAATGGCCTACCTATTCGTAGGAATATGTAAGTGATATCTATTGAAGAAATGTAGAGAGGTAAAATTGTTTTAAAAGTTTATGGTTGTTTATAAGGTAGAGTAATAATAAACTATGAACAAATCAATACTGTGATGATTAAAGAAGCCTTATATTATTTAGAAAATATTTTGGACACTAAAATACTATAGAATTTATGTAAATACTTGAGTCACTGCATTAAATACACAATTGTATTACGTTATTCCTGAGTAAAGGGTGATAATAAGCAGGATTTCAATTTGGAAAGTGATTTTCTTTGTAAACATATACAACCAAGTAGTTTGACTTTGTGACCCTTTCCATTTTCACAGTAAAAGACTGGATAATTAAAAAAAAAATTTTTTTTTGCACCACTAAAAAGCATCAAGATACCCTTACCCTATATAAATGTAAATTTCATATGGTTTCTTTTGCTCGATGATGTAATAGTGCTTGGCACACGGAAAACATTCAGTATTTGTAGAATAAATAAGAGATACAAGGATTAGGATGCTGTGGTGCTGTGAGCTATGGTCAAAGTATTGGGAAAGTCTGGATATGCTTGTATCACTTTGGAAAATTCACTAGATCTTTCTGGACTCAATTTATTCATTTGTAAAATGAGGATTTTGGAGTACATAACTTCTGAAGTCTTAATCATTGTTAACATTTAATGATTTTATTGTAGAGATGCTATTGGTGTGATAAATATTTTAAAGTAGTTATATGTTTTATGATTTTACTAAGTGGGTTCAGTAATTAAAAAAACACATAATGATAGACTCTACCATTTAACAGTAACAAATACTTGTTTGATAAACAGTATACAGTAATGCCTTCTAATTCAGAAGTTGATTATCAAGCAGTCAACACTGAATAAAGTAAAATTCAAGAAAAAATTAAAAAGTCAAAAATGACATTTAAGAAGTCAAAATGAATTCCTCAGAGATAATCCAACAAAACTAGACATTGTTCTTAAGGAAGTCCTCTTAAAAACACTTCTGAGCCTTTTAAATTTTATTTTAGATATACCTGTAACATGCTTAACTATTTTCAAACACAGGACATAATTGAGAATGTTGATAAACTACTAGAGAAACTGCTAAGGAGCTGTTAAAAGGAGATAACAATAATAAATAACATAAATTATAATGAGAGGGCAAAACACAGGAAACATAAGAATATGCATTTGTGGCAATTTTGTATAAACTAGTACATTTTAAAGTATATTCTATGAGTCAGTTGAATCAGAAAAACTTGGAGTGCTTGCTAAAAATATAAGATTTGAGTCTCTGAATTAGAATACCAGGGTTTGGTGGTAGGCATGTGTATTTTTAATAAAGCACCTTGAGGACAGCTTTGTGAAAGACTAGAACTGTACTGTTCAATGTGGTATATATTAACCATATGTAGCTATTTAAATTTAAACTAAATTAAATGCAATTAAAAGTTCAGCTAAATTTCACATGTTTAATGGTCACATTTGACTGCTGTATTGTACAGTGCAAATGTAGAATGCTGTCATTGTCACAAGAAGTTCTATGTACACTACTACTCTAGAGCAAGACATTCAACCAGGGATCCATGAACCCTAGGAGCCCACAGTGAACTTTAGTATATGTTTGAAATCTTAAAATTCTATTTCTACATCTTATGTCCAAAAATTTTTCCCCAGTGGAGGAAGGCTGTGGCATTCAGATTCACAAAAGTTTTATGACTTAAAAAGCTGGTAAAAAAAATTATCAATTCACTGGTTCCCTTTGGTAGCAAGGAAATTCTTCTGATATCTCTCAAATCTTAAGTTTTCATTGAGATGACTCATTACATACCTTTTATCTCAAATGAAGGATTCCATCAGCTTTAGTTTAATTACAGTAGAGAGATGATTTATGTCTTTTGTAACATTTCCTGTTTTAACTTGTCATGTTTACCACTTCATCGGGTTTATTTATTTTGATAGAATTTTTATTGAAATATATTATATATACAGTAAAGAGCACATATTATAAATGTATAGCTCAACACATTTTAATAAAGTGAACATACCTGTAATTAGCATTCATATCAAAATAGTATATTAGAATTAGTAAGTATATTTAGTAAGGTTACTTAATATATAATCAATATTTAAAAATCAGTTGTATTTCTGCAAAAATCAGTTACATTTTCTATACAACCAAATACAAAAATAATATAAAAACATTAAAAAAATCAAGTACCAAGAAAAAAATCTATTGAAATTTATATAAAATCTCTATACCGACAACAACAAATTTTATCTGAGAGACATTAAAACCTAAATAAATGGAAAAAATGTATCCTGTTTACAGATAGGAAGATTTTAAAATGCCTCTTCTTTTAATTAATCTATAGTATCAAGTGATCAAAAACAAAATGCCAGAAGGTGGGGGTTTTTTTTTGAAATTGACAAGAGAATTGAAATTTGAATGAAAGCCAAAGGGCCAAGAATTATCAAGAGAATCTTGAAGATGAACCAAAATTTTAGGATACATGCTATCAGGTATCAAAGCCTATTATCAAGCTATAATAATTAATACAGTAGAGTGCAAGTGTCAACACACTGACGAATGAAACAGAATAGAGAATCCAAAAACAAACCCACACATGCACACTCAACTGATTTATGGCAAAGGAAGGAGACACTGCAATGGTAAAAAGATGGCCTTTTAAATAAAGGATCATTTAATATATGCATATCTAAAAAAATGTATCTTAATCCTAATCTCAAATCATATACAAAAACCAATTCTAGATGCATTGCAAATCTAAATGTGAAAGATAAAACAATAATGCCTTTTAAGAAAAACAGGAGAATCCCTCCATGGTCTTGGAGTAAGAAGAGATTGAATAAACAGGATACAAAAAGCACTAGCTATAAAAGAAAAATCAGACTATGTTAAAATTAATATGTTCTGATCATCAATAGAAATAATTAAGAGACAGAAAAGACAGCTGCAGTTTAGAAGACAGTAAAAAAGGTGAAAAAGAACTAATACTCAAAATATATAAAAAACTCCCACAAATCAATAATAAACAAAAGTTACATAATTTAATAGCAAAGTGGACAAAAGAAACTTCCCAAAAGTCGATAATCAAATAGCTAATAAGCAACAGAATGAATAAATAAATCGTGATAAAATAGATAAGGGAATACTTTACAACAATAAAAGGGAAAGATATACAACTATATAAAATATGGATGAATCACACAAAAATAATATTAAAGAAAAAAACAGTCATAAATTAGTATTCACTGTATGATCCTACTTATATAATTTTGACCTGAATATACTTCAAAAACAAAAAAAACTAACCCTTTTGGGTTAGTGAATTTGAGGAAACATGAGGAGGGCCTCTGGGGTGTTGACAGTGTTGTTTTGTTGATCCAGATGCTGGTTACTCTCTGTTTGTGAAAAATGTATCAAGCACTACTATAAAAAATTTATATGCTATTGGGTAAAATAGATCTTAGGTATTTGGTTTGATGGCTTTTGATAATTGAGTGAACCTGTGAAACCAGCACCCAAAACAAGAAACAGAAATTTCTTCTATGCCCCTTTCTAGTCAATTTCCTTCTTCCACAGATAAACCTCTTTCAGATTTCTATTACAATATGTTGGTTTTCCCTGTTTTAGAAATTTATGTGAATGTAATACAATATATACTGGTTTGTTTGTTCTTGTCTATCTTGCTTAATATTTTGCTTTTAGGAAATTCAGCCATGTTATTCTATAGCAGTAGTTTGTGCTTTAAAATTTTTTCTGAATACTATTTCATTTTGCGATTATATTACATTCTCATTAATGTATTTTGGGTTGTTTATAGTGCTTGGCTTTATAAATAAATGTGTGAAATATTGTGTCATTATAAATGAATAGACTCATTAATGTTTCCTATTTTATCTTTTGAACCACTATAATTGTTATTGTCAGATAATTGATATTATTGCTCTAAAATATTTTCTACTTTAATTAATTTAGTTGATTTAATTTAATTATTTTAATTTAATTGTTGCTCTACAATATTTTTTACTTTAATTAACAGGATTGTTTGCATTCAAAGTTCAAGTATTTTTATATAATACTTGTACTACATTAAATTTCTGAAACGAAATACGAAAATTAATAAAAACCCTAAATCAATATTTCTAAAATATTTGTTTGTATTTGGAAAATGATGAATATTT